GGCCAGGACAACCTTAAATGCAGAGGATGCACCCGCTGAACCTTCTAATTTCGAAATTAACAACGCGTTTCAAACTCGTTCGATAATAGCTAAATCCTTCGAATCTTTTCGTTCTGAAATTTACAGATCAATTATGACACAATTATCGACGATGTTTGGTCTTTCGAGTGTTTGAATGCACGTGTTTCCATTTATTTGCATATTGGTTCTAATTAGCATCGATGATTAAGCAGGAGGATTATATTATATTTGCACAGCATAGATCCCCGTACAACGTTAACATCGCGCGTTGTATCCACATGCGTTGCGTTGCTACGAGATTAAGCATTATTCGTCGTTTGTCTACGTTGAACACGATAGACCGAAGGATTTTGATAGCTTACGTGCACGATAACTCAGAGCCATCCTTGAAACCTTGCGGCTTTTTCGGCTCTTTCTTTTTCTTTTTCGTTAACTCGCTCGATTTGTCAAGCTACTATACCGGATCTTTGCTTTTCCGTGCTAGCCTATTCCTATGTTCCACAGTTGCTTCCATTTTTCAAGATTTATCGCCCACGATCGTCTTATTTTAATCCTCTTATTTCTCTTTCCGTTTTGCCTCTCCTTTATTACTATTCTTATTGCTTTTGACTTTGTTATCAAAGCAATTTCATTAATTTCGTGTAACGAAGATTAAACGTTCCACCGTGTTTTCAGTCTAGGAACTGAATTTCACGGTTTAAAGAAATTCTCTTTCAAGTTCTTCATAAATCCGAGCACGATTTATTTTCAAAGCGAACGTTTACGCGTCGAATTACGAGTTCAATCGACATCATCTTCGATTACGACCTCTCGTCGATGATCGTCGCATCGCGTCGCCATCGACTTGATCCGCGAGTGTACTTGAAATTCTTTCAAATTCTTTTTCGTTTCGAGAGAAATCGTTTTTACGACTCTTATCGAGTTTCGCGCTGACTCACGATACTTTCGACCCCTTCTTTTTCACCCTGTTTTCTCGATTCGTTTCAATAGCTAAATTTCATCCCCTTCGTCCCCAATAAAATCTCGTTAATTCAAACAACGTTCTTCAAACGTCTGTCTTTTGTCTTCTCCTCCCCTACTCTCCTAGCTGTGATTTTTTCGATATGTTCAATTTTGTAAAAAAATACTATCGAAAACTACAACGATAAGAATAAACAAATTTAATGTAAATATGAAACAGTGAAGACCATTTGGCTACGTTCTTCCATCCAGTGTACTAGCTCTTTAGTTAAAACGTAGATCATAAAACGTTTTCGCGATAATCAGTAGAAGCTCCCTTTTTATATCGGAAGCGCAAGCTGGCAAGAAAAATCTTCAGGATATCCGTGGTCCGATAAAACGCGAAAATTTCCGTCGGGAGGATGAAGAACTTTCTCGTCGATGAACATCGTACCGACAAGGATTTATATTTCCAGGTCGTTCGAATAAAAGTACCGCTGGAAAAGGATAAACAAGCGTGTTTCATCGAAGTGCACGAAGGCTAAACTCGAGATTCCTTGCGGCTTATTCCAACAAACGAAACGAAGCGGAAGGCATACGAAACGAAACAGGAAATACAATTATATTTCCATCGAGATGCAGATGATATCATGCACTATTTTGCACCGTTTCCACGACTACTACTTTCGTTCGCCAGCGATACGAACTATGGATCAAACTGGGGTGCAAACATATGTTACGCCTCAAAACGAATCGATTGCGAGCTTCAAACGCAAAACTGTTTAATCTCTGATCCGGAAACGTCGGCGAGAATCCGTTCGCGACCCCGCTTGTATTTTCTTCTCCTCGAAGCATTCGAATTCCTGCGTGAAACGTTACATTCCTGCTGCATTCACCCACCTACGGTATATACGAACAAATTTTCTTCCGCGAAAAAGTCGTATCTTTACCAATCGTGCCGTTTCATTGTTGAATATTCGCAAGGAGGACGAATAACATTTTATACATTATATCTTATAGTATTTCCTAAAACAGTTTCGTAAATACGAACAAATCCATAAATAAGAAAATAAAGAAACTGCCACGAAACGCATCCCTTATCGGTTACAAATGTCCCTGCCTCGGGGCAACCCCAAACATTAAATCTAAACATCTTGAACATTCGAAACTAATGCTTCTTGTCGTAAAATACGTATCGTCTTCGCGATAAAAAAAATCTTCGTAAATCTTCTCTTTTCGTTTCAAAAAAGATTGCGTAACAATTGATAAGTAAAGAAAGCGAGATAATTACATCGAAAACATAAATCCTCGCGCATATTTTTCGATCGTGAACATCCTTGCTTTCGAACAACCTCGAATACTGCTTCGACTTAAGTTTTTTAAAAAAACCACCCCTACAAGAATTGCTCCAAAAATTGGTACAACGATTTCACGATGTAAGAATGTTCTATCGTCGATTTAAATACAGACCATCAGTATCGTCCGCGTGACAAACAGCAGCTGTGCATTTTCCGCAAGTTTTTCAATTGGCACCAAACGTTCCCTTTTAGTCGCACGAAGATTCACGATCGGTCGAGGAAGAGAGAAAGATATCGTGCGATTACAAGATTTCTTTACAAACGAAGCAATCGATGAAAATTTCTGTTCGATGATCTTCGATGATGTTGATTCACGATAATATTTGTTATCAGGAGAAATCCGATAAGAGAGGCGTCGCGCGTCGCGAATCAAAAGCGTCTCGCGTGACACGCGGAACGTTGCGCGCGTCGCGATGCTCGACCACCGACTGTCAGCTGCGTCGCGACAGAACGACGGCGCGACCCCCGAACGCTTACGAGGACGACCGAGGACGTCGAAACGACGCCCGCTCTATGCCGTCTACCCTCTAACTATTAGTCTGCCTATATCCTCGACTAATTTTCCTTTTTCAATTGCCAATTCTGACTTCTGACTACGAAATTTACTTTTCTTCTCACTTATTAACCCTTATAAACGGTTAAGGAAATTTCACTCCAGAGTGAAAATGCGAAGCATACATATTTTAACTTGATTCCTTTTGACAAACATGTGCGTAAAGAATAGCCGTTTCAATAATTACGCGTCAGAGATCGAGAAAAGTAATTTATCGACCATAGCATCGAGATAAAACGTTTTTGGGATAAAACGAGGGAATCACGACGTAGAGACAAATTAAAAGATTAAGGGACACGTGACGAACGGTGTGCCGCATAGATCGAGATACCGTCAAAGATATCTGATGCCCGCTAATAAACTTCAACCACCGGTAATTCAACTGTGCTACGACTTCGCACCGTAATTGTTCTAATTTAGATAATAATCTTTAGGAATAAAATCACAGCAGAATGATTAGAAAAACCAAATGATTTCTCTCGTTTTTTCACGGTACCTTTAATCGTTTAATACAGCCGTCTCTAATTAAGCGATTAAGATAATCTGCTTCACGAAACGAGTATGCGTGTATAGGTTTCTATAGAAAATTCGTACACGTCGGACTCGGATAACGTGGCGAGCAATATTAATACCGTATCGTTTGTGTAACCATCAGTGAAAGAGGTTTGAAATTACGTTAATTAATTTACACCGTTGAGACTCACGAATTACGTCAGTAACAGTTCGTGGAAATTTGTCCCAATATCGTTTAATTCTATTCGTGATCGTGGCTGATCATGTTGCAATTCAATGCAGTATCGTGCAGGCACGATGGTAGCTTCGATATCATAGAATAGGTATCTATTATATCGGCGTAATTGTCAAACCTACCTAATTTGTAAATTTAATTATCCTCTTTGATACAAGAAAGTGGAATTCTAAAATTTCTCGTTAAGAATGATACCGGGCGTAAAGGTATCCGGAGAAGCGTAAGAAAGGAGGACAGATCGGTATCGAAATCAAATTCTCTCGGAGATTATATCTCTCGTGTCTACGTGCCATACAGATCTTTAGTTTCGTGTCTGACGTCCTTCCCCATTACCTCGAAACATAGATTTCATTGTCCGTTATGCTGGCACCTTTCCCGAAATTCCCCGGAGGAAATCGTATCCGCGGTGTAAGCGCGATAATAAAAGCATTCTCACCGATACCGAATACCGACTCAAGAAATATTCGATCAACCTTGATTCCATCGTTTTAATTTAAGGGTATATGCATTAAAGCGAAAATAAGCCGAGTCAACACGATCGTTAGACGCATCCCAACGATATCGCAGGTTTAATTATTCCCGATTCGTGGTTAGAAGCTATAAATGGTGTAATTACACGATCGTGTTGGAAATCGTCTCGACTTGAATAACGCCATGCCGCAGGTGAACCAAGTCGATAAGCTTTAGCGTTGTTGAATTTTAAGAGAAGCAATTATGCGGTCCGACGCGCAAATAAATTATTCGGAACGATTCGTGTAAAATAAATTCCGAATTGAACTATATTATACAATGTATGTGTCCGTACGTTCGATTAAAAGATAATTATATTATCGATCAAATATTTCAGTTATTTACTGTAACTATTCCTAGTATTCTGCTTTCGGCTATTGTTCCTTAAATAAATCGCATAGTTCCAGAACGCCTGGTCAAAATTCTATCAGTGTTCTCTCCGAGAGACACAAGCTGATGTCACGGTAATATATTTATTCGAACGTGCCAGGAAATAGAGGCGTTAAGAAGTTTCGTATCGATTCGCTTGCTTCCCTTGGGGACGGCAATTTTCCGATAATCATATCGCAGTAACAATTCTTTGTTACCAATAATAGCTCGTTTCAAAAAGTTTATCGCGCTTGTTCGACGTAACTATAGAACTTTTCCTTCGAGGAACTGTACTCAAGCTCAACTTATATTCTGACAATTAATTAATAAACTGGTCAGAAAATCGCATTGACCAAGGCAGTTGAATAGATGTCGAAACGATATTATTTCATCTACACGGAACAATTATACTTTTCACTCAGAATAGTAATTGTTTCGCGCAATGGACTAGCGATTTTATTCTTCGTTCGATCAGTGTTATATATTCTGAATTTCGACTTACCCGTATTTCCTCCTGACGAACGATTCTCTCCTCTCTTTCTCATTTTCATATTATTATCTCCCGTCTTCCTAGGATACACCATCGTCCCTGTCATTTGTCCTGCTGTTCAGCTATTGCTACTGGATAACAGTCATTCTGGAGATCTGAAATCGGAAAACAAAATGGCGGTTAAGTCGAGTCTTTTTTCTCAAACAATGTATAATCAAGTTTATTAAAATAAACAATACGTTTATGTCTTGTATAAATGTGAATAAAATTTTTTTTCGTAAATGATAAATCTACGTCAAAATGAAAGTTTCTGAATCGTACTGTTATAGACTAAAATTATTTGTTACTTGTAACTAACACTTGGCTTTTGTTAATAGTAAAACTACACACTCTCGTTTTGATAATTACGCATTATCCCGTTAATATTTATCGGACCATTAATTTTTTGTTTATTTTTTAACTGTAGAACAAAGTAGAAAATGTCATGTGCATAATCATGACGAGTTTATTTATTGTTATAGTAACTCCGTAGCCATTTGTTAAACGTGCTAATAATAGGATACGAAATATTTCGTTCTTTCCATGATTATACTACATGACCATTCCTTAAATATAATTAATCTTACGTACCTTTATATTATTTATCACTATTATATTTATTACACTTCATATTGACACTAATAACTAATAAAACACCGAAAAAAGAAGCTATTTGAGCAAAACACACTTCATCTGTCAGAAAGATTCAAACGATTCGAACATACTAGAAGCGTCCTCTATAACATCAAGATGGCGTACTGCGCAATTCATTTCTATACTATAAATATTTAATTAATTTCAAATAATGTTATTAAAACAGAAAAAAAGATAATATTATATAATCAAATAATATGAAAATAATAAAAGTATAAAAAGTAAAAGATATTTAAATATTTTGCAATAAAAATTGTTTTGATATTTCATTGGCGCCAATTTCGATCATTTCAAAATGAATACATCGATACAAGTTTTTATCTTTTTCTACAATCTTTAGTAAAAAACTTTATCTTATTTTGTAAAATATTGTACAACTACTTTAAATTATACAAAAGAAATCTTTACCTCGCAAAAATTTCTAAAACTACGAATTTAACAAGATTACTCTCGTAATTTTAATTAGAATACGGAGAATAAACTAAAATTGAAACTAATGTACTTCAAATATTAATACGTACCATAATTTATATATTTGAGAAATTCCTAACGAATATTGACTGTGGATATAATTTTGTCCATCTTACTTCAAGCGAAATGCAAAAAATAGACTATAGGTTAGAATTAGATCGCTACAGAACACTGACGTTAACCCTGCAGATAGTTGCATCGCACTAATAAATGCCAAATAATATGTTTCTCAATTTTGATTTTAACTTGCACATATTATATGAATATGAGAATACACAAGAAGTTACACCTTCGCAACCCTCTACCGAGAAATAATTTAATTAAAAGCAGTTTGAGTTTATTACCATGATACGCCATCTGTAAAATTCTGATTGTTCTGTAATTACGAACTCTAACGAAATTTATTTAGGAAAATTATAAAATAGCAGAATTATACTGTTTTCATCGAAGTATCAAATTATTCCTGGATTGTAATAAACCAAGATAAAGCATGTTTCCAGAAAAGTATGTTCCATTAATGGAATGGCGAATTGATGCGCTGGGAGTTCTGTATACGATGACTAAGCAAATTTTTCTTCAAAGCGAGAAAGCTAGAAGAAAATCAAGGGTTTTGTGGTTAATTGAATTTGGGACTTGATAAATTCTGCTTGAGAAAACATCCATGGATGGAAAGCGGTCTATAAAAATGGTACGTTACTTTACAAATGCAAATGCGATCTCTGTTTTCTCGATGTATCGTACACCTGTGTAAACTGTGTTATGACGTATAAAAGAATCGTCAATTTCTGAAACAACATTGTATATTTCACACGAGTTTTATTCATGAAAATTTAACTTTTCTAATTTGTAGCAATATATAATGATTGAATATATACGGGATAATCGTACTTTATTGTTATTTATAACATAAATAAAATTCATGTAAAAATTATTCTGATTTGTAGGACCCATTATCACCTGGACCGTGCTTAGATATCAGTGATGATGAACTTGTCACTATATCAGTCAGAGATTTAAACAGGCAACTAAAATTACGTGGGCTATCAAGGGAGGAAATAGTTCGTATGAAGCAACGTAGACGTACTTTAAAAAACAGAGGATATGCAGCCAGTTGTCGCATCAAACGAATTGAACAGAAGGATGAACTAGAATCGGAAAAGACACAAGAATATCGTGATATGGAAGCTATGCAAGAAGATAATAATCGTATGAGAGAAGAAATAGAATCTTGGCATTCTAAATATCAAGCATTAAAGAAATTTGCAGCAGAAAAGAAGATTCACATTCCACCTGAACTAGAAACAATGTAAAGTATTTATGACCTACTGTACACGTATATGTTTAAAAGCAATCAAATAATTGGATGTCAAATAGAAAAAAACTTGTACAATGAACAAGTTACATTGTTAATATCTTAAGTATTAGAAATATAAAGACATTTATGTTAGCAAGGAGTAAAGCATAAAGGAAGAAAGCTGTAAAGTTACTGAACATATGTACACAAATGTACATTGTTTTATGACAACTGAATGTTGTGTACAATGTTCATTTCTGTATTTTTTACAAACATTTCCATCAGAATATTCAATGCTATGTGAACAATATCAAGAATTTGTTTGTGCTCCTATTTTAAGGTATAAAAAAATATCTTAGTAAAAAAAATATGTAAAATATATTTCTGTAAACAAATTCATATAATTTTTTTTTCAGTATATAATAAATATATTAATCTACTAACTACATGCACATTGATTGAATTACCTAGCAACCTGTACTTCTGTTTACATGTTATAGACTTGGGAAACATAAATTCTTCTGGAAAACACATTAATCTGCACACCTCTTTGGGAGTAAAATATCGTAATTTCAATTTTTCTAAAGTTTCTGCTGCTTCTGGTGATTGACAATTGTATTCGCGTGCTTTCAAAAATGTTTCCTTAATTAATTCATCTGAATAGGGACAATATACAGAGCCTGTACCTTCTACATAACGTCCATAGGCTTTTGTAAAACAGCAAGAACCAGTACTTTCTGATGTTCTTATATCCATTAACCAAGCTCTCTTTTGTAACAATTTTTTAGGAATCATATATTCTGAATCTTCAACATTTTCCAAAATATTCTCTAGCTTATAACACTTCTTATCCATGTTAGAACTTTCCATACAACATTTTTCAGCTAATAGATTATGTTTACTTTTTGGTAGCAGTTTTAAAATATCTTCTGGTAGATGAAAATTCGATATGATATGATTGAAACAAAATTTAAGATCGTTTCTTTTAGCCAATAAATAATATCTGTATCTGGTATTTGGAATACCAAACTGGCAAGGGCTTATAATTATTTCTTTATAGTGAAACCTACAATCATTCATACATTTTAATACAGCATTTCTCATTTCTGACTTTTCAAACCCTTTTACATTTTCCAATAATATATATTTTAGAGATTTTATTTGATGAATAAGTTCAAGAACATGGAACAGTGAAGATGATCTGTTATCTAATATGTCTTTTTGGAGTCCTACCCTTGTGTAAGGTTGGCATGGAGGACTCATTAGTATAGTATCTATGTTTAAATCATTTATTTCTTGCACAACAAGTGACTGAATATTACGATTCATAAGCAAAACATTTGGAAAATTATATTTGTATACACTATTGGCAATAGTATTTATATCAACTGCTGCAATAATGCTACCCTCAACACCGCTTTCTGAAAGTAAAAAATTTATTTCATTATAATTTTCTATTGAAAATTTAATTAAAAATTACAGTAATTTAATCAACTATAGGTTAAGTTATTTTGAATTATATAAAACGCTAAGTAAAAATATAGTCTTACCTTGAAGAGCATAATGCATACCACCAATACCGCTATATAATTCTAAGACTCTCATCGTTAATGATTCATAAAAGAATTCTTTAATATAAATGTCCACAAACGTATCTCGCTCATTGTCAACAAACTAATCTATTCTTCCATCGATCATTCCTTTTCTCATTTGTTTTAAAATCTTATTCATTTACGTTGACACAGTTTTCCACGAAATCCGTCAATTTTAAAAAAAATAGTCTTTCAAATAAATACCACGTTTTTAACTGTTAAAAATTATAAATAATGATAGAAAATAATTGAACTAACCTAACGTGTGGTTCCATAGTTCGTTTAGTAATGGAAGATAGGCTCGTTTTGCGTCGTGCAAAGTTAAACACATTCGATTAATGTAACTTTGAAAATTTGTTTATGCTGTAATTAGAAAAATTAATGAAAAATGTGAATGCAGTCTCTTAAAGAATACGATGACTGATGTTTAAAGCAAAACTAAAAATGAGTGATCTAAAAATAAGCAAATTAACCTGAACAATGTGTTGACTTTTTTATCGTAGTTTCGACAATCGTTCTAATGTTTAAGAGACTTTAGAAGCGCCCAGTAAATATTTTTTATCATTTGGATGACGCTAACAGATTTCGATAACGTTTCTTTGACGAAAGACGAAGCATAAATTAAATGTTGGGCACCACCCAAATACAATTATAATATTAAAAAATGTTTCGAAGCCGAAGTTGGTTTGGAGGAGGGCTATGGAAACCCAAAAATCCTCATTCTTTGGAACATCTTAAGTACGTAAATATATTTAACAATATTTTATATTTTCATCCTATCTAAATTTTTCCATTGTTACATTCAGGTATTTATACAATGTGCTATCAAAAAATCAAACTGTATCTGAAAATAATAGAGGTTTATTGGTAGAAACCCTTCGTTCTATAGCTGAAATTTTAATATGGGGTGACCAAAATGATAGCAGTGTATTTGAGTAAGTATAGCTAAGATAATCGCTAATAAATTATTATACTTTTATATTTGTATTTTGTTATATATCAGACAATAACATTACATATGATTTTTAGCTTTTTTCTAGAGAAAAATATGCTTTCATTTTTTCTACGTATAATGAAACAGAAATGTGGAAGCTATGTATGTGTTCAGTTATTACAAACACTAAACATATTATTTGAAAATATACGTAATGAAACATCTTTATGTAAGTTCTTTTCATATTTTACTATTATAGCCCACTTATCATCTATGGACAATATTTTAATTCAAATGTTCTCCTTTCTTATAGATTATTTACTTAGTAACAATCATGTAAACAGTATAATAGTGCACAAATTTGACTTCAGCGATGAAGAAGTGATGGCATATTATATCAGTTTCTTAAAAACTTTAAGTTTGAAACTGAATGCACATACCATCCATTTCTTTTATAACGAGGTAAACGAGGTACACATGATAATTCTTTGTGTCTCTTTTCTCACTTTTGCTAATTTCATTCTCATTGATTTGAACAGTAACTACCCAATACACGTTTACTACTACTGAATTAAAGTATTTAACTGTGTACATAATTAAATGAGTTCATATTGTGCTGTTTATTGTAATGGCTATTCTCATGGTCATAGTGTCATCGTCATCATCATTATTTCAATTCTGCACTAAGCATATATAAGAAAAGGATATCTTTTAATTTGATTTTTCTTTATCAGCACACCAATGATTTTCCCTTATATACAGAGGCAATTAAATTTTTTAATCATTCAGAGGGAATGGTTCGTATAGCGGTGCGAACGTTAACTTTAAATGTATATCGGGTAGAGGATGCCTCTATGCTCGCATTTATACGAGATCGCACTGCTGCACCCTATTTCAGCAATCTTGTATGGTTTATTGGTAATCACATTATAGAGCTTGACACTTGTGTTAGAAATGATGCTGAGTAAGTGACTTTATTGAATATTTACTTATACCAAAAAGAAATTTCATTATGTACGTTTCATAATATGTTTCAGTCATCAAAGTCAAAACAGATTATCAGATTTAGTAGCAGAACACTTGGATCATTTACATTACTTAAATGACATTCTTTGTTTAAATATATCTGATTTAAATAAAGTTTTATCAGAACATTTACTTCACAAACTATTAGTTCCACTGTATGTGTATTCTCTCATGAGACACAAGAATCTTTTATGTCAAAATCAGGTACGTTTCCGCATAGCGAATTCACGATGATTACATGATACGACAATAATTTTTGTTTCTTATTAACAGGAAGAGAGAAAGCACGTGAGCACCGTAGTCGCCCTTTTTCTACTTTCTCAAGTATTTTTAATAATTTCTCATGGTCCTCTTGTACATACATTAGCAGCAGTAATGCTATTATCAGACTTAGAAACAATTAAAACAGGGGCAAGTAAAGTGCTCGAAATGTATGGTGATATTTCATCGGATAAACCAATTGCTTTTTCACCGCCAAAAGAAAGTTTAGAAAAATCTCTGGAAAATTTAAGCGAATCCTTAACTGCGTCAGATGATCTTTGCGAAGAAGAAGAAGAAGCTAATTTAGAACAAAGAAAAGATAGCACTGAAAATGAGGGCGAAGAAGTATTAGATACAAATCATCCAAGCACATCGTTTGATACCGCTTCATCTGGCGATATATCTGTACTTATGAGTCCCGAGCAACTGAATAACCCCGAAGATTTAGAAGAAATGAATCATCTGAATGTTACTGACGAAGAGAAGGAACAGAGATTAGCATTAGAAAGTCCTATAACGCCTTCCATACAAAAAAGTGTAACCGAATCGTTGTCGAATAAGCCATTCTTAGAAACGATCTTAAATTCCTTATTTTGCACGGAAAACGATTATGCTGCATTATTTGCCTTATGTTTACTTTATGCTCTAGTTAACAATCAGGTAAGCTATTTCGAGAATAGCTATTTGTGTGCTTTAGTTTGATACAGTTAGTTTAATGGAGTCAATTTTTAAGGGCATAGATCGTAAAACGTTGGAACCAATTTTATGTCATTCAAGAAATTCCGCAAGAAATCTATATAATGAAACTTTAATAGATAGACTGATTCATATTATAACGTTAAGTTGCCAAACAAGTGAGTTAGTTTCAAAGGTTTTCTTACATTTTTGAATTAATAATTTGTTTTAATGAATGATATCTTTATCAGATTCTAAAGTGAGGCTCGTTACATTGGAATTGACAATTAAATTGTTAATACAACTAGTAATGTCAGAAGGGCAAAATGCATTGAGGGATTCGCATTTGACGGCAATTGATGCAGCTAAAGAACAAAGCACATCGTTATTAAAAAATTTTTACAAAGTATGTTATTACATAACTTATAGTCTTTTAATGCAGTTGAAAAATTGTTGTTAAATAAATTTTATTTTGTTTTTAGAGTGAAGACATATTCTTAGATATGTTTGAGGATGAATATAGCGAAATTCAGAAGCGGCCTCTAAATGTTGAATGGTTAATGATGGACAGTAACATTTTATTACCACCAACAGGTACTCCAATGACGGGTATCGAATTTACTAAGAGATTACCGTGTGGAGAAGTAAATACATTAAATATTAATTCTTCTTACCATATACCGTGTATTATTGACATAATACACTTATTAAATTTACTAATAGACAATAAAATTAATGCTTGCGCAGGTTGAAAGAGCAAGACGCGCTATAAGAGTATTTTTTTTGATAAGAGAACTGTCATTGACTTTAAGCTTGGAAACGGAAACACAGCTGCCATTGACAAATCCAGCCAACTGTGTTCAAGTCGATAATGTTCTTGATTTAAGTAAAAGTTCTTTCATTTTTTATATGTTATTTGATTATAAATTAGGAAATCAAATACTAACATATACTTAATTTATGTTATGCTCTTGAATAGATAATAGCGATTTAATCGCATGTACGGTTATATGGAAAGATGGTCAGAAGATTCGCCGCTTTCTAGTCATCGACGTTGTGCAGCTGATTCTTGTCGAACCTGATACCAGCAAACTCGGTTGGGGAGTAGCAAAATTAGTAGGATTTTTGCAGGACATTGAAGTAGCTGGCGACAAGGATGATTCCAGATGTTTACACTTAACAATTTACAAACCGCTTAGCAGTACTACCGGGAATCGTGTTCCGTTGTTATCAACAAAATTCATTTTCGATGACCATATCAGATGTTTAGCCGCCAAACAAAGGTGAGTAGTTACTGTGTAAGCCAGGTAATAGGTTATCCTTTTTTTTTATTAAATTTATCTTTTGTTGAAGGTTAACGAAGGGAAGAATAAAAGCACGTCAAAAGAAAATGAATCAGATAGCAAGATTACTAGACATTCCCACAAGTATACCTCACTCTGCAACACCACCCAATTATGCACTACGTAGTCTTCGACATGAACGTGAGATACATTACGAAGTAAACCAGGTGTTAAAAACTACGAAAATTAGATAATATCTGTCTATTCGATTTCAGGATTAGGACGCGGACAGAGACAAAAAGATCAACCTCGCCCAATGTTTACCGTCAACAAAGTTCCTGGATTCGCAGCACAAATGCGTAGAGAAAATACTACTAGGGCTACTTCTAGTATTGCGACGTCAACTCCAAAACGTGGTGATAATTCGAATGAAAAGAGTCATGAAAACGGATTGCGTTCCCGAGACAGTTCTCCTAAAATGCCGAGGCCTCGAAGCGAGGAAATACCTTTGGAAGACATGCGTCTTCGAAAAGCCTCATTGACGACAAATGGATTGAGCATATCACACATGTGTCAAGAAAAGAAAGATGGTCAAATTTCTGCTTGTTCAACTAACGGTGAACCATCGACTGTGATTAGAAAACATTCTGAAGAAACGTCGTTCACTTGTCCACAAGAATTGAAACCACGTAGAAAAGGACAAGTGGAAACAGTATGATCATAAAAATGAATTTCTGAGAAAAAAGAAGTAGAGTAAATTCAACATCTTTTTAGATAATTTAGAGAAAAAATGAGAATGTATGTGTAATTTTTAGTTAATGTAAAACATTTTTAATTGATGTAACAACATACTTTACTATAAGGCACTTTCTAAACAATAACTTGGGATATTATATGTTTTGCAATATTTTATTTTAATAGAGGGACATATTTTAAAAATAAATTTTGTAAAAAAAAAAACAAGCTATTGTATATCCAGTAAAAGGTTAGGTATAAGATGAAACTAATTTTTTTCAGTTCTTTTATGCTATGTAACATATAAGTATTTTGTACATACATTTTATCTAGATACATATATCGGAAGTTTGTTTGTTCTATTTAAATGTTACAAACAACCTCTCATTAGATATGATATACTTTACAATTATGCAACAAAATCTTGTATTTAATTTCTGTATATACTGTTGGCAATTTCTATAACATGAAATAAATACCAATAATACAATAACGTGTTTCATTCAATATACTAACAAATCATAATATCACCATTAATAATTATTATTAATTCGTATAACGTAAATAAAATAGAACAAAAATTAACGTTAAATGTGGTAGGTATTACCGACATTACGAATTTAATTTTCCTTTATTTTATTAACCGTTTAAAAGATTGAATTCTTGTCAATTTTATAAAGAACATAAAAATTTCTTTAGCAAAATAAAAACAATGCCAACATAAGATAAAAATTCATATGCAATTAGTAATTACCTTAAATGCATTTCTCGTTATCAGTTATTTACGCATGTATGGGTTTTTCAATCAAAGGAAATCAGCTCTGCTGTTTCCGGCTTCGTGTCTTCTTTCACCGGTACAGTTTCATTTGATGCTGGTGGCAGAGGAGTTGATGATTGGAATTGTAACGGTTGCCCTTGAGTTATCGGTACTTGACTCATACCTTGTAACGTGGGTACAGTAGACCCTTGGGGACCTTGTATCGTCGGATTCGATGTCATAATCGGCGCAGCTGTAGTTCCTGGAGGTACCTGAATAGAAGAAGATCCCTGGGACGAAATAGGAGTATTCGAAACATGAGGCTGTATCGAAGGTCCTTGAGGGCCAGGCAACGTAGATGGTTGTTGTGGTCCCATCTGTGGTGGAAGGCCAACAACTTGACCCGGAGGGCCATGCGCACCAGGTCCGATTTGTGTAGATGATGGGCCCATGTGACTTTGAGGTACCTGGGGCATACCTACTTGATTGGGTGGTCCTGGTTGCGCAATTTGCGGAGGAGCACCCTGTTGCGGTGGCATATGACCTGGCGCAGGCTGTGATTGTGTTATATGACTTGTGGGACCTTGTTGTGGTGGTGGCGGCCCCATCTGATGTCCACCTGCCTGCTGAAGTTGTGGTATGGGATTTGTCATTTGAGATATCTTTAAAAGAAAGTAAATAAAACAACAAAATTTGGAACACAAACAAATAAAATGCGAATTAAATCGAAATAAAAAAGAAACAATATAATGCATAGGTAACAAATTTTAGATGTATTACCATTCCAGGTCCGGAAACAGAAACCCGACCCATAGCTTCATGTCCTTGAATAGACGGATCTGTTGGTTGCTGCTCTTGATTCGTCATCGGTCCCATTACATGCGGTAGCATGGTATTCATTGGAGGCATATTGTAATTCTGTAACGGATATTGTTTCATCGGAGGTTGTCCATACATATATCCTTGGTTTGTTGGAGACATAGGATTATAGTTGGAGCCAGGCGTTTGATACTGAACGTGACGAACAGGTGAACCTTGAGATGGTCCAATAAAACCGGAAACAGCTTGATAACCTATGATATACATATTCAGTAATAAGATTAAAAGCATATTACAATTGCACACTACTTATTTGAACTGTACCCATCATATACTGTTGCTTTTGTTGTTCTTGTCTCATCTGCATTTCTCTTTCTTGTTCTTGAATTTTCTGTAAAGCAAGCTGACGTTGATATTGTAGATATTCTTGTTTTTTCTTTCTCATAATAGCCAACTTCTGGGCCATCAACATCTGCCTTTGCCTTTCAGCTTCTTCAGCTTGTCTTCGTAATTTTTCTCTATGTTCTTCTCGCAACGCATCTAACGCGGCTCTAGCATCTTTCATTTGTGTTAATTTATCCTGAAGACCCTCGTAATATACTCTACTATCATCTTGTTCTTGAATGTATCTCAACAATCTACAGAAATTTATTCATTTTATACATTCGGAAAATTTCATAATTATTTTCTATATTAATTGACATTTTAACGAACCTCGAGTGCATAGCAGTGATATTCAAAAATAAGGTTTGCACCGAACTATCGTTAGCAATCGATCTACCTCTCGACGAATTACTCTTCATTCTGTTAACAAAAATTTCAACTTGGGAACGCAAAGCGTTAACAAATTCTTCCATTTGATTATCGACTTCTCCATTTTGTTGTTTCGCGATTACAACTTTCTGAGGCATTGGACTACTTATATTAGGTGCAGAAGGACTGGTAACATCTGCCCTCGAACCATGTTCTTCTATTGCCGTTTGTCTCTGTTCCCAATATTTACGATTCAAATATTTTGCGAGTTCGGGTTCAACTTCTTCCTCTTCCTGCAACTTTGACGGACTAGGGCCCTAAAAATAAAAATCTGTAACGCATCTTCCTGATAAATCTATATTTATTTTAAAGACTAACGGGTGATGGTGGCGGGGAATACGTTGTCCTCGATATTGTTCCAGTATTTGATTTTAAAGCACTAGTTGCCCGTTTCTTTTCTTTTTCTTTATGTTCAGCTTCACTTTGACTTAAAGCTATAGCTAGATTAAGTTCCTCTTCTTCTTGAAGTTCTGCTGCCGTTTTCCTAGGCGGGACCTGTCGTAGATTTACACGTTTTCAAATACATTTTTTAAGTTCTATAACATTTTGAGGAAAAAATTACTCACTTGTTGTTGTTGGGCTAAAGAACTATTAAGATATTCAGCAGGCAGATCCGCTTCTTTAATCTGTGCAGTAGATGGTCTATGAAAAAGATTAACAAAATTATAGAAATAAAAAACTGACTAAGAACAGACAATAATTATTTTATACTTACTTATTAACATGCTCATAACAAGCTTCACAAACTCGAACTTCCTTTTCAAATCCAAACTTGGGCAAAGTACTCGTCTTACTAGAACACTGACCACAAAACACTTGCCCACAAGCTCGACAGTGATGTTTTCTCTGCATCACGCCAAATGAAACCCGACATCTATGACAAACATCACCATCTACCCATGCTGGAGCAATATCAGCAACAAACATGGCATCGCTTTCTTTCAAAGCAGGAAATTTGTGCCCTTCAGCTTTCATGATATTGAGTGTATCCTAGCACACACACATATATGTTTTTAATGTCTATGTTTTTCATTGTTTGAAACTCATCAATATATTTAATAAACATACTTGTACTGCTCTGTATTTGGGACAATTTCGGAAAGCATGTGCCCAGGCTTGAATCAATTCCAAAGTTTTAAGTTTAACGTTTTCATTGGTCGTTGTTTTAACTAGCTCTTTCAGCTGCTCCATGTATTGTTTTGTACCAATTTCATCGTGTATCAGTGTACCACAATTTTTAACACAAGATTCCAATACCTGTATTTAAGAACATTCAAATTAAAGAATTATATTAATTAATTATTAATAACAAATAATCTTATTGATTACAAATATCTTATTCTTACCAACAAAGCATATAAAGCTACATGTGGATTATTATGTGTCATTCTTTTCTTTATAGATGCAAGTGCTGCTTTTGGTCTAGATACACAAAAAAATATGACATTTCACTATTTTATAAATCAAATTTATGGTCCCTGAAATGTGGCTTATTATTCGTTTAAAGTAGAGGATAATAAAAAAATAAATTAACAAGAATGAAGGAATGATGGTAATATTTTAAAACATGTAGAGTAAATGTGAAACACGAAGAATATGCAATCCGTATCTTTAAAGTGATTAAGATATAGAGGTTAGCTTTAGGTTAAACGAGAGTAGACACTCACTGCACATCTCCTTGGCGTATTAAATCACAAATTTTGATAATTGGAGACCAGTCAGGTTCAAGTAGTAAATTACTTGTTGCTTTATCTACAACAAATGCAAGGATAATTAATAAATTTGAAAGTCGGACATTTTGTTCGTTCACTACAACGAATAAAATCCTACCTAACAGTTTATCAAACACAAGTTGACTACGAAACATTTTGTTTCGACAAAAATGACTGTCTTATTTTCAATTTTTCTAATGCGTTTATATTTCTAAAGAGTTATTATACGTTTGACAATTAATTCAATTTAACAAACACCTATCTCAACAGCACTGTTCTGTCGACTGTAGTATAGCAAAATATGAGTCACACAAACGTAAATTACAATCGATTAGGACAATCGACTATTAGTAAGGGGAGCGAGATATAATCGATTTCATCAAATCAATTTTAAATTTGAAATGCTTCAAGTTTACAATCGAGCATTACAAAATGTTAATACTATTTTTAATATGTTCCTCCTTCTATTTCGGAATAATAGTATTTTTAATATACTTGAGGTTATATCATACGAAGCGGATAAATCTTTGGAAGTTTAGAAAATTAATTAGGACTCGAGGGAAAGTTTTAAACTTTTTATGGACGATCTCGTTGTTTATTAATGTAAATTTTCACAGAGATCTAATACAAATACTCTCGGTACTTATACACGTTCTATAACTAAACTAATAACGTTCCATAACTATACTGTAGTATGGAAAAAATCTTAAAATTACAGCTTCCTTTAAAGAAACATTTGCTCACATTCGTGAAATCAAAGAGAATGAATAATGTTTTACATAAAGGAAGTATCGATTAGAGTCATTAAGACGTAATTATGTACAAGATTATCTTCTCAAGGTTATACATTTGTACTGTATTCAGAAAATAGTGCCAAGCACTATTAAATCCATGAAATAAATGCAATAAAATTGATAAACTTTCTAATACCATTACTATGTTTAAGCGTATTCTACTTATTAAATTGAATCGCTCTGATCCACAGTTTTTCACTCCTCTGGACATTTGTCGAATTTTATCCACGCAAGTTGAATTCAGAATATAAAAGAAAAATTTTTAAAGAAGATATTTTAAAAGTATGAACACGTATAGGCGAAAGAATGATCAACTTAATAAATACGTGATATAAATTACTGAATACAGTCTAATATTGCATACGCTTCCCACAACCTAAATCCCCAACATTTGCGATATATGGTTTTCCAACGATTTTGCTACATCGTTTCAGGAAAATCGTAAGAAAACCAGTAATTATTAGCAAACGAATTTTTTGTTGTAATTAGATAAAGACTAAGTGGTTTAAAACCGCTTTTTACCTTCCTATTAATTAAATGTCGTAACAAGATGACTGCTGAAGATCTAGACAGTATTATTGCGGGATCTTCCGCAGCCATGTTGTACAGAGATTCGCCTATTTTCTAATATTTAACGATTGGTCCTAATTTCTCATTCCTCACAAGTGTACGATTTAGAAGAAACGCAGATTCCTGGCAGAAAGGTTATAGTCTTCTATAGGAATTTGCCATCGATTGTCCCAATATTCGCTCTTCGTTCTGTACGCTAAATGCGTGCACATTGGTAATCGCGTTGCACGCTCGCACCTTCGCGACACCGACCAATACAAGAAGTTCTGCGGACACTTGTACAAATATCCTTGAATGTTGTTTCTGGAATCTCGTTTGCACTTATAGAATGCAGTGCTGCAACCTTGTCTGTAAGGATAATGTCCTTCTCCTGGGCAGAGCTGATCGGTCGACACTTTTATCTGAAATCGAATAGACCCTATGAAAAATATCTGTAAGGATGTAAAGTTACTGAAAAGATTAGCTGAATATACTTACAGGAGAGACAGGACTATCAGCTATTTCTCTATAAAACCTTCCACTGGCTATGCCAGTCGTGCAAGCCTGACTACTCTTATCCTCGGGCAAACACTGAATCTTTTGCTCGTCGAAGATCGTATTCTCTGGGCAGCTCAGTACGAGTACCTTGATCTCCATGCTGCCTTCGTTGGTGCATTGATAGAACAAATTGCAGTACTTTGGATGTCTTCGGAAACCAGTTGGACAAGCTAACACGATTTGTTCGTCGGTCAGATTTCCAATTGGACAAGGCGTGGAAACAGAAGAATCTGTACTGGAAGCCGGTTCCGTAGTGGATTCTTGAGACGCGGTCGACGAGGTTGCTATTTCCGTAGTTTGTTCCGAGCTCGAAGTTGCATCGCTTTCAGTGGTTCCTTCCGTTGTCGTGGTGGAATCTGTAGTTGCTTCAGAAGTAGACTGAGTGGTTGCTTCGGTCATAGATTCGGTAGTTGCCTCCGAAGTTGGCTGAGAAGTGGACTCCGTAGTTGGTTCAGAAGTAGATTGAGTAGTAGATTCTGTAGCTGCCTCAGAAGTTGATTGAGTAGTAGACTCCGTAGTTGCCTCAGAAGTAGATTGAGTAGTAGACTCCGTAGTTGCCTCAGAAGTTGATTGAGTAGTAGGCTCCGTAGTTGCCTCAGAAGTAGATTGAGTAGTGGACTCCGTAGTTGCCTCGGAGGTAGATTCAGTAGTAGACTCTGTCGTTGCTTCGGACGTAGACTCCGTAGTTGCCTCGGACGTAGATTCAGTAGTGGATTCTGTCGTTGCTTCGGACGTAGACTCTGTAGTTGCCTCGGACGTAGATTCAGTAGTAGATTCTGTCGTTGCTTCGGACGTAGTCTCCGTTGTCGATTCGGAGGTAGATTCCGAAGTAGTAGACTCAGTCGTTAAACCAGTAGTTTGAGTAGACTCGGTCGATTCCGTAGCTGTCGTGGCATCCGTAGACGTTTCTGTCGACGATGACGCTGGCGTAGATTCAGTAGTACCCTCAGTGTCCCTTGACACTGTCGTCGATTCTATACCGCTTTCAGCAGTAGACGGCATTTGTTCCGTTGTAGATGCTTCAGGAGTTTCCGACGCGCTAGATGCAGGCATCGCACAATCTCTTGCAGGATAGACCGATTCTGGATGATTGCATACATTGATGCTGGGATCGAATATGGTTCCAGGTCCGCAGTTGAAATGGTACACGTTAAATCCATTTCCGTTGTCGACGCAACGGTAAAATTTATCGCACTCTGTTGGATGCGGATAGAAACCTTCGGTGTTACAAACTATAGTATTATTAGGCTTCTTCGTGGCACAATCCGGCACATTGGATTCGGTGGAAGACTGCGAAGTCGACGATGTAGGAGTTTCGGTGCTTGAAGATTGTTGAATTTCTTCTGATTTTTCTGAAGTGCTTGCAGTGACAGTAGTTGACAAAGATGTTGTCGATTCCGGTTGTCCAGCAGCGGACGTGCTACTGTCTCCTGCAGACGTGGTACTGTCTCCTGAAACGGAACTAGTTGTCGAAGTACCATCTGTAGACTCTTGACCACTATGATCGATCTCGTTACTTTCGGTCGAACACGAGGCTACTTGACTTATATAATTGCAAGTTTCGAGAGAAGAATCCCAAGCGGTGCCGGATGGGCATTCAAAGTCGTATCTTTGGAAACGACTTCCGGAACCAACGCAACGGTAAAACTTTCTACAATCCGCTGGATTTGGGAAGAAACCCTGTTGTGTGCATCCTGATACTCCAGTAGACACATCGGACGTGGTAGATTGTTGCTCGTCGGACGAGGTACTACTTCCTGGTGTAGATTCTGTAATACCTGCAGGCGTAGATTCAGAACCGGCTGTACTAGTTTCAGGTGCAGACGTAGTAGGGAATTGTGACGTTGACGTACTAGTCGACGAGGTAGTCGACTCGGACGTCGATGGTGCGCTCGACGTAGTAACGATCGATGTAGGGTTAGTGGACGACGAAGATGCTGTGCTACTCGTTTGTGATTGAGATGCATCCGGTGGGTTAGTAGTGCTACCCGGCTCGTTAATGGATGAATCGGGTTTCGTACTGCTCGAAGAATCGGAAGAACCAGACCCACCCTTGCAATTAGGAACTGCGTGCTCGTGATTGCAACTTTGAATGCTCTGATCCCATACGGTTCCGGTACCACACTGGAATTCGTACTTAGTGAAGGTGGAACCACCACCGACGCAACGATAAAACTTTCGACAATCTTTAGGATTAGGGAAGAATCCTTCTTCGGTACATTCAGATGATCCAGTAGACGAGGCAGACGTCGTGGTCTCAACTTCGATAATAGTACTCGAAGGAGGCAAAGTAGAAGTAGATTCTGTAGAATCTGGGGTTATCGATTGAGGAGTGGTTGTGCTCGACTGAATTGGAGAGGTAGGAGATGTGGATTGCGATGTTGAATCGCTTATCGATGGAGGATTAGATGACGCAGTAGTTGACATAGTTGTTGTCGAAGCGCTCGATGACGCGATAGTGGATGAACTGACAGTGCTGGTCGAATGTGGTGGAACACTCGAAGATGACATCGATGGTGGACCGTTAGTTACAATTTCAGATGTACCTGGCTTATCAGTGTGATCATCGATTTCATTATTCGATTCGTCTGGAACCTTGTCGCTCGAAGATTCAGGAGGATTGGATTCACTTTGACAATTAGGAACGAGATACTCGTGATTACAACTCTGAAGTACAGAATCCCATGCAGTACCAGCACCACATTGAAATTCGTATTTCGTAAATGTCGAACCACCTCCGACGCAACGATAAAATTTCCGGCAGTCTCGGGGGTCAGGGAAGAATCCTTCTTCCGTACACGTCCCCGATGGTTTCGATGCCCCTGGAGTTTCTGAAAAGAGATACAGTTGGTCATACTGCTACAATCATTTGTACTCTTCCATCGATCAACGACAGCAAAAATACCTGAAGATGTGTCAGGTGTGCCAGGAGTGCCAGGCGTGCCAGAAGATCCAGGAGTGCCAGGGGTGCCGGGAGTACCTGGAGTTCCCGGAGTGCCAGGCGTACCGGGAGATCCAGGAGTACCAGGAGTTCCAGGAGTTCCAGGAGTTCCAGGAGTACCAGGAGTGCCAGGCGTACCAGGCGTACCAGGAGTTCCAGGAGTTCCAGGAGTACCAGGGGTACCGGGAGTATCAGGAGTTGCAGGGGTACCAGGTGTACCAGGAGTTCCAGGAGTTCCAGGTGTACCAGGAGTTCCAGAAGTACCAGGAGTGCTTGGTGTTCCTGGTGTGCCAGGGGTTCCAGGAGTACCAGGGGTTCCAGGAGTGCCAGGAGTACCGGGAGTTCCAGGTGTACCAGAAGTTCCAGGTGTACCAGAAGTTCCAGGTGTACCAGGAGTTCCAGGGGTACCGGGGGTACCAGGAGTTCCAGGTGTTCCAGGTGTTCCTGGTGTTCCAGGGGTTCCCGGCGTACCAGGTGTACCAGCGGTACCAGTGGTGCCAGAGGTACCAGGACTTCCAGGTGTACCAGGAGTTCCAGGAATGCTTGGTGTGCCTGGTGTTCCTGGTGTGCCAGGGGTTCCAGGAGTGCCAGGAGTACCAGGAGAACCAGGAGTTCCAGGCGTACCAGAAGATCCAGGTGTACCAGGAGTTCCAGGAGTACCAGAAGTTCCAGGTGTACCAGGAGTTCCAGGTGTTCCAGGCGTACCAGGCGTACCAGGAGTTCCAGGAGTTCCAGGAGTATCAGGAGTTGCAGGGCTACCAGGTGTACCAGGAGTTCCAGGAGTTCCAGGCGTACCAGAAGATCCAGGTGTACCAGGAGTACCAGGAGTACCTGGAGTGCCTGGTGTTCCTGGTGTGCCAGGGGTTCCAGGGGTTCCAGGAGTGCCAGGGGATCCAGGAGTTCCAGGAGTTCCAGGTGTACCTGGCGTTCCTGGTGTGCCAGGGGTTCCAGGGGTTCCAGGGGTTCCAGGAGTGCCAGGGGATCCAGGAGTTCCAGGTGTACCTGGCGTTCCTGGTGTGCCAGGGGTTCCAGGAGTGCCATGTTCCTGGTGTGCCAGGGGTGCCAGAAGTGCCTGGTGTTCCTGGTGTACCAGGGCTTCCAGGAGTGCCAGATGTTCCAGGCGTTCCTGGAGTACCTGAGGTGCCGGGGGTGCCAGCAGTGCCAGGTGTACCTGGAGATCCAGAAGTGCCAGGTTGTCCACTAGGATCGCCAGGCTGACCCGGTTGTCCTGGTTGACCATTAGGATCTCCGGGCTGTCCGGGGCTGCCCGTATCACCGTTCCATTGTCCGCCATTATCTCCGGTATCACCATTCCATTGTCCTCCGTTATCACCCGTATCTCCATTCCATTGTCCGCTGTTATCTTCGTTCCATTGTCCAGCATTATCGGTACCACTGTCAGCAGTCTCTAAACCTTGCTTACAATCCTGGCGCGTTACCGCCCAGGCATGATTGCACCCTTGAATTTCTGGATCCCAAACAGTGCCAACCCCGCAAGTAAACTCGTACTTAATGAACCTGCCGTTTCCTTCGTCGACGCATCTGTAGAATTTTCTGCAGTCCTTCGAGTCGGATAGAAATCCTTCTCGTGTGCACTGAACCTGACCTTGGTCAACATCGTTCTCCGTTTGATCACCGGTTGTAGAAGGCTGACTCGTCGATGGATTTGTAGTAGTCGTTTGGTAAGACGTTTGCGGTGATCCAGTTGTGGTCGTAATCCGAGTGGTAGTCGTAGGTGTTGCGGTCGTACGAGTGATTTCGCCAACCGGTGTTGTCGTCCATTGCGTAGAGGGTGATTGCGACGCGACAGAATCATTCGAATCGATTTCGTTTTCGTTACCACCGCACTCTGGTCGACCGCTGTCGTTCGGATGAGTACAGATGTTACCTTTGTCTTTCGAGAACACCGTTCCAGCGCCGCACTCGAATTGAAATTTCGTTAGAGGACTACCGTTTCCCCAATCGACGCATCTGTAGTATACCCTACAGTCGCGAGGATCAGGATGATATCCCTCTTCCGTACACGCAAAAGCATTGCTCCCTTGTCCGGTTTGCGCGCGGAAGTAATAATACGGATCCGAACTTGTATAAATACCTGCAAATTTAAGCGTTACCCAAATGTTAACGTTTCGGTGAAGACGAATGTAGCATTTATTTTGACGCGGAAAATCTTACCAGTTTCTTCGGACTCTGGGAAAATCGATATTATCAGAATGGCCAAGATTTGTAGAGCCATCCACATGGTTACGATTTAGCTGATCTGAAAGAAGAAACAGTTATGGGCAAACGAGTAGGTGGCTGTCATAATTCAACGTCTGTTAGGAACCCTATCTGACTAATTTTAACGGGATAAAACAACGTGACGTAATCCGTGCCGTTTTGTAGGACAAGAGGCGTGGATTTCCTCGATCGTGAATCCCGCGCAAACAGCGAAAGATAAGCGATCGAACAGTTACTTCGGCGCGATGGTTGGCCCACGTCCAATCTTCCCCTTGATCGACGGCCAAAGGATTCTAACTGTCGGACCTGCTGACCTTGCATGGAATAATTCACGCATCATCAACGTTTCAGGATCAAACGATTCACATTTCTGCCGCGTCTTTGCCGGCCGATCGGTGACCTCGATTTTTTTCTCATTCGATCGTCGTACATTCGATAGATACGCGCGTGCTACAACAATTTGAATACTTGGCCATGACCATGACTTTGTCCCTTGTACAGTTACGTTAGCATCGAGTTCCGACACACCTTTAATCATTTGACACCGTATGTTGTTTTCGCCAGATCGTAAATCGGCGTCGTCATCGTGAACGGAATAAAGAAGCCGAGATCCAAACGAGTTAGCTCTCTCGCGTTTTATTCCGCTAATTCGTTTTACAAGGCGATTCGATGGAATTTCAAACGGACAAACGCGTCGTCACCCCTATGTTAGAAATTATCTTAATATACTTCGAAGACGGTATCGCGCGAACCTTGCTGCGACTTCACGATCCCTATGGTTTATCGAGATGGAAGGTACACACGGCAGGGAGAATTCCCTACCTTCTACACCTTGGTTCGTTCGTTGCTTCCATGCGCGGACATTCGATGTCTCACGGGCGTAGTCTTATCGTTATTCAGCATCGTAAGTAATATACAGCGCACTTCAGGGTATCGCTACCTTTAGATGAAACTCGACGGATAATAGTGGCGCTCTGCAATTATCGCAGGCTTTACGAATATCGTCGAACGCGATCGCGAGTTTCTCGTTCAACACCGTAGACCGTTACGACGCCACGCGTTTTATCACCGCGCGTTATAATGCTCCGCGCTGTGTGGCGCCGCGCGAAATCGTTAATCATCGCCTTAATTTGCATGATCCCTGTCTGGGAGGAGAGCTGCCTATGAATCGGGTTCAGTGCCGTAAATATCGTCGCTGGTGCCGTGCAATCTCGTAACGAATTACAGCGTGCACGACCTACGACTGGTCGATGAAAGGAGCCACGATAATTCTGAACGGACCGAAAGAGACGACCGATCGAAGGTGTTCGAGCGTGAGTCGAAGAAGAGGAGAGAAAGCTGCTCGTTGAAAGGCTGAATCGAAGCGGACCACGTTGTTCGACTCTCGTAGTCCTTTCTCTCGGTTGTTCGAATGAAAAAGAGGATTGCATGAACGGTGACAAAACAGAGGAATGCTGTTTCTCCGAGCTGGCTGCGACTGCAACATCGAGGAAGAGAAGAGATCGCGGTGACATAAGTCGTAAGGCAGAGTCAATGTCAGTGTCGGCGATCCTGACATTGAGGTAGACCATGCTAGTTGAAACGGAAACTGGCCTGCTCGTATTGAATTCTCCGTATCGTTCGTTAATTAAACGAAATTTGTCGCTTCGTTATTGGAAACCAGTTTACTCGACGCTTTACGACGAAGCTCGTTTGACAGACTCGCGCGGGCTCCGATTTACGAAGCCGAACGGTGAACGTTGCGTGTTCGAACGCAGGAGCAGCGAGGTTTGGCTAAATCCGAAACAGCGAACTTTATGTTTGTACCTTGAAATATTACTTTGCGGGTGACGCATTTTCGTAAAGCTTGCTACCAGTATGTATCATTAATTTCGTTGAATTTTAGACGAGCGTAGATAGCGACGTTACTATACGTAGGTCGTGGATATTTTACGATATCGATTGGCCCGTAAGATTTGGGCGAAGCGCCTCTCGTCGTTGAATGAAACATTCTCTGTGCCGAGGGTTCAGACCCCGTTCACACGAGAATCGTTGCCTGAATACAAATCGATCGTATCCCATGTGGACTACGTTCCCGTTTCGTCAAGAATCGCGCGAAAAACAGAAGGATACTTTTCGTGCATCGCATTCTAAACAAGTTCCACTAGCAAGTATCGTAGGCTTCTCTAGAGCAAACGGCAATACAGGAGAAAAAGGTGTCAGCACGTGGTGATTTCTGGTCGGCAAATTTATAAAGTCGACTTTGAGCGGAAGATTGTCCGATACTAATCTTTAATAAAAATCTCTTGGAATTTTCTTCGCTTGGAATTCTACGAGTTTCTCCGCCTCCCATTAACGTCCAAGAATTAATACCATTAAATACGATAAACGTGTCTCTGCCTCCATCGCGGCGAACACGTTAAACTGGAATGGTTGTCTTATTTAAATTATCGCTACGCGTAATAGCGTCGTTACTCATAGTTTCGACCGCTCTACGTTAAATACGGTCTGCGAGTCTCTAATTGTTACTTTAACAAGATGCATGATATATCGGTCTCTTAATGAATCGTTTATCGGTAATTGCGCATCGGCAATATTTTACCCGAGATCATCAACGATTAAGAACGTAAAGGGACGTCCGAAATACGCCACGAAGGTACGCGGAGGTAACGACAGGTTGTTAAGGAGTTACACGACTTATTTATAAACCGATTCAAGTCGTTCTGCCACCTGCTGTTAGGTATCCGAGGAACGAGGGAACTCGAAGAGAAGAACTCAAGGACGATCTCTGTCGTGCATTACCTTCGGCTAAAGTCTCTCGTCGACGATTACCTCCGCTGTAAAAACTGATTCCTCCAATTAAAAACAATTCGGCGCGCATTGTTTAAAGCGTTTTTCAGGATACACCGAAAGGAAACGACATCTAAGGTATCATTAGGCGAAGTCTGCGGTTCAACGATTTCACGGGCTAAAAGCACCCGGAAGACGAGAGATTTGGGATGACGGGCAAACGACCCGAGTAACGATTTAATTAATGCTTTCCCTATCGGTGCTGTAAAACGCAAAGTCGGTTCAACGATCCCGAGATGCCTAAGAGAGCTCGTTAAACCTAAGAGACCGGCTCGTCACGAATTTTTCACTCGAAGCGATAAACTTTTTACGATGATCGAAAAATACGATTCTCCGTCGAAACGCGATAATTTTCCCGATGACCGCCGAGCAGGATTAACAGCGAAGACAATCGTGTAACTGTACGCTCGAAACGCGTGGCCTCGAATTAAAATCAATTGGCTGATGAGTCGCGAATCACGATTCAGGAAAGCAGAGTGTACAGTTATCCTCGTGGATAATGCACCGGTCGATCGATAACGGAAAAATCGAGGAGAAAGTCCTTCTCCTCGTCGTTATTTCTGAATCGCGAAGGATACAGAAATTTGAGCGCGCATTATCGTAAATCAGCGGCCGCTGGAGTAAATCCCGTTCGCCACGCACGCCGGTGTCCGTCAGCTTTTTGGCAAGCGCTTCGTATGTCCATCATCGTTGTAAGTTATAATCCCTGACGTGTTCTTCGAAATTGCTTCAGTGAGATACAAGAACGCAGCACGTCCTTGAACAGATCGGAATGGTCGCTTTAATCGAACCAGTTCTTGATTCGAACACAAAATGACGATCGAACCTTCTTCGAAACGATAAACGTTGCGGTTCGACAGAGAAACATCTCTGCCATCGTGAATCGCTTCGTTCATGGACGATCAGGCGTTACCATATTCGTTATGGAGGAAAATTGGATACATTGTCGAGAAAGAATGAACTAGATGCAAAGACGCGTGCGTGTGGAAATGTCTGGAGAGCGAAACAAGAGTGGTCTATTTAATGGATCGAATTCGTTGCGTAGCGGAAAGGATGCGGAGTAAGTAGCGAGAAGGGGAAGAGTTAATCGAGAGTAAGACGCAGCCGAACAAAGAAACAGCGTGAACGCAATCCGGTGCAATGAACCTAAACTGTTATGATGGCACGTTCGTTCCGATAAGACGTTGAAAGTCGCAAGGCCGCTTCTTCTCCCACCGATTATACACCTTTCCCCCTCGTTCGCGTTCGAGCTGATACGCGGTGGCAAGGGAATCGCGATACGTTAATTAAATTGCGGCAGGATACGTCGTTAAGGAAATCGTAGCATTCGTTCGCGAAATCCTTGCGTCCGGGAATTGTCCGACGTGCGAGTCTCGAATTCTATTTGAATCGAGTTCTTCCAACCTTCGCGGTATAATTATAAGCGATCTTTTCATATTACTATTTCTTCGGCACGGAAGTACTCGTTCATTGTACGTAGACGCGTTCTCTTCGATATCCTTTCGGATCTTGCTTAAATTACCGGTAGAAGAACTTTTAACGGCAACGACTGAGCGATTCGAAACAAAACAATTAGCAAAACGACGACGAGTCCCCTAACCGAAGGTAATCGTATCCTTGGCGAGCCGCAATTAAAGGAATACTTGTAAATTGCGCGCTCGAGTCTTCCCACTCGGTCCGTTTACTTCGTCCTCTTCATTTTTTCATTATATCCCTTATTCGAGACCGCGATCCTGCATCCGAGCTAACCCGTAGATTTATCATGCATCGCATGCGGGCTCCGCTTCAACGAGGTTCAAGGCTCCGGATGATGCTCGTGTATCACGTTTACTAGAAAATGAGAAACCCCGTGTCCCGGCTATATTAACGTCCACGTAAATAGAGCGTAATTGCGTACGCGGCCGAACGAAATAAAACGAAAGGAAACGACGGGGACTGGACAGGCCTGGGACCTTCTTTGACTCTATTAGTAAGGCCTTTCTGCTAGATATTTCATCTTGGCTAAGATCATTTACGCGGGAAGAATATATCGCGAGCTTTCGTCGCCGCAGGAAATTGAATTTCCTTCCTCGGAGCGGTTAAACACCGGCGTGCATCTTTCTCGATATTTACCGACGCAAAATTCTAAAACGAAATAATCGAGTCTTAATATCCGGTGAAACGCGTGTCCACGATTAACGATCGCGCGCGCGT